TCAATTTGAGTCAAGGGCACATGCCCCAGTTGCGGGCTCGATCCCCAATAGGGGATGTACAGGAGGCAGCCGATCAATGATGCTCTCTCATCATTGATGTTTCTATCTCTTTCTCCCTCTTCCTTCCTCTCTGAAATCAATAAAAACATATCAAAAAATAAAAATAGAGATTCTATATTGAAAAAGGAAGTCAGACAGATCTGGGTTTGAGTTTTGGAAACTTCTTTAACACTGTGCCTCAGTTTGTTCAATTGTAATGAAAATAATACCTAGCTCTGGGGGCTGCTGTGAGGAGCAAGTGACTTAACACATATTAAGCCCTTCACATAGTGACTGGCACACAATGAGGGCACCAATACATAGCAACCGAGAGGCTCATTGTTGCTATCTTGCCTGGCACAGCCCTGCAAGCTCATCTCCTGCTGGGGAGAAGCTGGGTATGGACACTACAGCTTGATCCTGCTTTGGAAGTCAGACTGTTGTGACTAACTAGCCCCCTCCTTTACTAACAAAAGGAGTCAAGAGTTCTCATTTGGACTTTGTTTCCCATTGGTTGAAAGTGGGGTTGCCCTGGTAGCACATGTAAACATTCCTTCTTGGAATCCTGGGGAAAAGCCGCTGAGAGACTTTCTGAGGCTTCCCTGACCACTACTTCTCCATACAAGACTCTGTTCACTCAGGTATTGGGGGTTGTTAAGTGTGGGAGGGCTCCACAAAAAAGACTTGCAGTGGTTCTCCCAATTCATCACCCAGACCCCAAACTTGATCACATCCCTGACCCCCCCTTCACACCCATTTTTCCCACCTCTTAGGGAGAGAGGGGGAGAAAAAGAACTAGGAAAGGCCAGTCACAGGGACGCTTAAGAATTGTGTGTGCCCACATATATATGAGAATAAGAAGGGAACTGCTTCCCGAGCCCTGCTCCCCCTTTTCCTTTTCCTGTTGTAGCACAGGGCTTCCAGGGGAAGTTCTTAAGGAGGTGCTTCTATGACTAAAGCCCCCACCTCATTTGCTTTGTGTTGGGAGTCACAGATTTGGCTTCCAGTCAATTCATCAGGAGACAATTTGCTGAAGCTAGGTCACTGAATGACCAAATGGGCCATTTTCTGAAGGTCTGAGTTACTAAATGGACTCACCAAAGCCTACTGAATTTACCAGTTTATCGAAAACATTCTATTGTCTTTAATTACGGAGTTTACAGCAAATTGCTTTGGCCAAATTGGGCTGGGGAGAGCCATTTCTCCAAGGTTAAGGGCCTTTAGACTCCCTCACTCTTCACCCTTCATTTGGGTCTTCATAGGAGCATTTTAAGCTCAGTTTGCCTCTGCCTCGGTTCCCTATTGCTACAGCTGGCGGGTGAACAGGTCCCCACAACTCTCTGTGAATCTTGGAGGGAGGAGAGCAGTGTAGTTAAGAGCAGGGGCTGTGGAGTTGGACAGCCTGGGTGTGAGCGTGGCTTCCTTGTTTCACATGGTAAGAAAAATAGGCATACTTAAAGTAGGATAGGTAGGGAAGGGTTAAGGGAATCATTGGGGTTGACAGTGGGGAAACAAGGCCAAGCACAGCCACCCAGGGCTAGAAATGGTGGGGCTATAGGGCTGAGGGGAGAGAATGGTTACCCTTACCAGACTGGGAAGTTGTGAGAGAGCTGCCCTGGAGAAGCTGCCTTCTCCATATACCAGCTACTGGTGACCCTGTAGGGAGACAGCTCCCTGGGGAATATATACCTCAACCTTACTCTCCTCTGTTCAGCCTGATCTGCCCATTGTGTGGAACCTCCTGGAAGATAGAGGTAATGGGAGAGCCTATTGATGTAGTCCAGCCAGGTCGGCCTTTCAGGGGAGAGAGGGAGAGTGGATCTGGAAGGGCCAGTGAAAGGTGCACGATCTCACAGGGCTGTGGTGAGAGTTGAGACCCATTAAACATTCCAAATTGGGAGTTGCTATTTATAGAAAAATAAATAGCTCCCTTTGGAGAGAGATACCCACTTTCCTGCAGCACTCCCAATGCAAGGACTGCCTGCAAGGGATTTATAACTGTGGGAAATATTAGCTATCATTTATGATGAACATTTTACTAAAACAGGAGCAAATATTTTTTTTAACAAGAAAAAATTTAATTACATGAATATATATGGGAACCCTGCACACGAGAGTCAGAAATCCAAAATACATGAGAGGTTCTGACAAATATTTTCTATTAAAAAATATATGTTTATTGATTTAAGAAAGGAGGGGAGAAGGAAAGATAGAAACATCAATGATGAAAGAGAATCATTGATTAGCTGTCTCCTGCATACCCCCCCATTTGGGATTGAGCCTGCAACCCGGGCATATGTCCTGACCAAGTATCGAACTGTGACTGCTTGGTTCATAGGTCAACTCTGAACCACTGAGTCACACCGGCCTGGCACGGCATTTATTTTTCTAACATTTTAAATACTTTTTTAAAAAATATATTTTATTTTTTTACAGAGAGGAAGGGAGAGAGATAGAGAGTCAGAAACATCGATGAGAGAGAAACATCGATCAGCCGCCCCCTGCACACCCCCCACTGGGGATGTGCCCGCAACCCAGGTACATGCCCTTGACCGGAATCGAACCCGGGACCTTCCAGTCCGCAGGCCGACGCTCTATCCACTGAGCCAAACCAGCCAGGGCAACAAATATTTTCTTGATGTGATAAATCTTAAGCCATAAACCAGCATCACACTTACTGGTGTAAGGTCTGAAAGCATTCCTGTTAAAGTCAGACACAAAGGAAGGATTTTAAAAAATATATATATTTTTTATTGTTTTCAGAGAGGAAGGGAGAGGGAAAGACAGATAGAAATATCAATGATGAGAGGGAATCACTGATTGGCTGCCTTCTGCACGCCCCCGCACGGGGGATCAAGCCCACAACCCAGACTTGTGCCCTGACCCGGAATCGACCCATGACCGCCTGGTTCATAGGTCGATGCTCAACCACTGAGCCATGCCAGTTGGACTGGAAGGATTTTTTAAAAAAAATTCTTTATTTAAAGTATTACACGAGTCTCCTTTTTTCCCCCTTTGACCTCTCCCCCGTCACCCCCTCCCCCAAGCACAAGCCCTCAGCCCCTACTGTCTCTGTCCATTGGTTTTGCTCATATGCATGCATACAAGTCCTTTGGTTGATCTCTTACCCTCTCACCCCCCGCCTTCCCTCATAGGTTGTACAGTCTGTTTGATGCTTCTATGGAAGGATTTTTTTTAATCTCCACTTTCATTTCACATTTTTCTGGAAGTATTTACCAAAGGTAATACTTATATATTTCAGGAAAAAATGAGTTTCTGGCAGATGACATTGTATAACTGGAAAATCCAAGAGAAAAACTTGAAAAACCAACCCTTCCTATACTGTATTCCCTCTAATAATTTACATTCACTTTATCTTTTTTATATATATTTTATTGATTTTTTACAGAGAGGAAGGGAGAGGGATAGAGAGTTAGAAACATCGATGAGAGAGAAGCATCGATCAGCTGCCTCCTGCATACCCCCTACTGGGGATGTGCCTGCAACCAAGGTACATGCCCTTGACCAGAATTGAACCTGGGACCCTTCAGTCCCCAGGCCGATGCTCTATCCAGTGAGTCAAACCAGCTAGGGCTCACTTTATCTTTAAGTAGTCATGGGCTCTCAGTTGCCTAAAGTAGGGTTTGAGGTTCTATTAAAGACTCAACTAGAAATCAGTATTGTTAGAACTCCAAAGAAGTTAAGAATCATTCTACTACATCTTAAGTCTTCATAGTTATGTGAATCTGAAAATCCTTGGTTTTTAGAAAAAGTAGACCTCAGTGGCCAGGCACAAAGAATAAACTAAGGCCTTACTCCTTCCTCACCCCCTAATCCCCTCCCTAGAGGAAAGAGCCGTTTCCTGTCTCTTGTGATTCTTCAAGAGATACCGTATTTGCCAGCGTATAAGATGACTGGGCGTATAAGACGACCCCCTAACATTTCCACTCAAAATACAGAGTTTGTTATATACTCGCCGTATAAGACTACCCCCTCTTCCGCACACCTTCCACACACCAAATAAAAGGTAAAACAATATCAGATTTGATTTTAACATTTTAATTTATATTCAAATGCTTATGACATGTAGGAAAACTGTCACAAGGCTGTATGTAATCAAACATATACATAAAACAGTGCAAGTTTATTACCGGTAAACATACCGGTAATTCACTAAAGAAAACACACTCTATAGACTGGTACCGTAGATGCTTCTCAGGAACACAGGCAAGCAGCCCACAACCTAGAGGGACTGTCAATGATAGAAGAAAGAT